AATCCAAAAGAAGGCAAAAAACAAAACAAAAAAAAAACAGCACTGCCAGTTTGAAACAAACTGGGAAAAAAAATCCTTCTTGAGCCCAGATTTATCCTTGGATCAAGAAGCTATTACCCAACAGTTGAAAAATTCTATAATTGAATATTAAGTTTTTGCAAGTATGTATCTAGTTGCTGTTTAAACATCTGTACAGACTCTGATAAAACCACTTCTTCAGGCAGAGAATTCAACATCCTTATTGTTCTTTCCTTTGCCGTAGACTAAATCTTCTTTCTTCCAGTCTAAACACATGACCTTGTGTCCTATGTATAAACCTGTTTCTGAATAGATTTCAACACAATGGTTTGTATTAGCCCCGGATATATTTGTATAATAATATCATATCATCTCTGAGGAGACGTTTTTCTAAACTAAAGAGGTTTAAATTTGTTAACCTTTCTTCACAGCTAAAATGTTCCATTCCTTTTATTAATTTTGCAGCCCGCCTCTGCACTTTTTCTAGTGCCATAATATCCTTCTTTAGAACAGGTGCCCAAGGAAAAGTTAAAGGATCTTAACATGTATAGCTTGGAGGTAAGACAATAGAAACATTTAAATACATAAAGGGAATCAACACAGTAAAGGAGGAGACTATATTTAAAAGAAGAAAAACTACCACAACAAGAGGACATAGTTTTAAATTAGAGGGGCAAAGGTTTAAAAATAATATCAGGAAGTATTACTTTACTGAAAGGGTAGTGGATGCATTGAATAGCCTTCTGGCTGAAGTGGTAGAGGTTAACACAGTAAAAGAGTTTAAGCATGCGTGGGATATGCATAAGGCTATCCTAACTGTAAGATAAAGCCAGGGACTAATGAAATTATTTTAAAAATAGGGCAGACTAGATGGGCCGATGGTTCTTATCTGCCGTCGCAATCTATGTTTCTAAGAAAAAAAAGAGGACACTCTCTTCACCCATAAAGTACTTCACCACGCTAAGAGATTTAAGAGTCTGTGCTACCCACAGGCTCCAGCATGCAGGGGGCGGTGCTATAAACCTCCCAGGTGCAATGCATCCTGGGGAAACTTGCTTTGTATTACAAAAAAAAATTGTAAACCGAGGCATTATTTTCAATGGATTTTCATTTGTAAACTGAAAATTATGTTAACTGAAGCATTTGTAAACCGAGGTCCCACTGTATAAGCATTTTCCTTTAATCATATCTTTTTGAACAGCAACATTTTTTTTTGTACTATAATTGTTTTTACTTCACCCTACACAAAACTCAACTAAATTTGTACATAATCAGTTCAAAAAAAGCATGTTGAATCCTACTAATGATTTTATCTGCTAGCATGCATAAAAAATGACACACATCTAGCTTGTCTTGCACTTATTGTTTATTATTGTGTGAACCAAATGTTCTACAACAATTTCACTTTATACCAACTTGAGATATGAAATAAACTGTAAAAACTGTAACTGGTGTTCACACTAATGCTCTTAATTAGAGCTCAGATATGTTAAATATGAAAATAGAAGGTAATTGCATAATAAAAAAAAAATAATTCATTCAAATATTGGCACCAGACCCTTATACTGGTATCATCGCTGTAGCATTACCTGTGGTTTCCTGCTCCATTCATTATGCGACACGTCATTTTGGCACCAGTTTTGACGTAGGATGCTACCAATCGGTGAGTCATTCTGGAATCAATTATTTTGCAGGACGCTGCTACAGCATGCCTATTTATTCGCAACAGAAAGTATGTCATTAATCTGGGACTGATCCACAAGCATCCTTCCTCCACTGATGCACGCGTATTTTCTTGGAAAACAAGAATGACACAAACTAATACACAGACAATACACTTTATACAAATCCTCGGACGACTAAGGCCATTACCGTGTTGTTGTTTCTTTGTACTTCCAATAGTGTATTATATTGTCTGTCTATCTTGTTTTTTTTATTCATCTTGTCTATGCTGATTCTGTCTTCTGGTACCCATGGCGTGGCTTCTCTACTTTGTGCTTATCTATACCCCTTGAAGAAAGAAGATCACCGTAATGCTTAAAGTTAATGTTACCAAAACATTAACATTATTATTTATTGTATTAATCTGTTTAGTAATTGTTTGATTGTTGCACTGGTTTTAATTCACTGCCTATACAAAGCTCACAATGTCTGGTGTGAAATAGTCAATTTTGGGTAGAAACTTTGCTGTTTTCTGCTGATTCCAATAAATGTGCCTTTAACCCCTTAAGGACACATGATTCCAGATGTTTGGTCCTTAAGGGGTTAATCATTGGAATGCCTGGATCTTCTTTCTTCGTTTAGTATCTATGTCCTGATGGGCTAGTGCTGGCCGATGGTCTAGTTAAGCATCTAATTGGCTTTTGGATTGAGTGCAATTCCTGTAATTTATCTATACTCCTTGCCGTAGCATCTTTCTGACTATTCTCCCTGATTTCAGGTTACAGTTTTGCCCTTCTATAGGCACTGTGTTAAGACAGGTCACTGTAATGACCAGTAATGTGCATGTGTCCTATTTTCCTTTACTTTTTAGGGCACTTCAAGTCACTCTCTGAGTACTGGGTTGTCGCCATACATTGACAATCTCATTTTAAGATAAACTGTATATAATAATATTCAGATTCCAGTTATACTAGCTGTGAGGGGGTGTTCGAACCTATTAGGTTGCTTGATGAAAGGTAGTAACCTACTTTAAAAGAATTTCAAATTAACTCCAATTCTTCATGCTGTATCTATCAATGTAGGCCATTATACTTTTGGTACCCCACCCACCAAATAAAAAATAAGTTTAAAGTTAATATCCGGTGACACTTTCCACAGCCCTTCATAATATCATGGCAGATTTGCCAGGTCCAACCACAGACTTCTCATAGAGAAAGAGTGATTGGACCAAGTGAACATGCACACATTCTGGTCCAGGGTGGGGAGGGGGTAGTAATGGGTAGGAAGAGGGATTTTAAGCAAAAAAAAAAAACAACCAAAAAAACAGAGGGGGGCGCTCAGGGGGAAGGAGGGAAAGACTATCTTCCACTTTGCTATTAGGGACTTACTCCTAGGCATGGGCCTAGCAAAAACCCAGGGAGGGTTCATTTCTATCTCTTACAAAATATGGTAATACCACTGATAAACAGATACCACTGATAAGAGTGGCTTTAAATATTGTAGTTCTGTATAATGTGTGTGTCTTGTGGCTGTGTGTGGAGTGACAGTGTGCATGTTGTTTAGATGTAGAGTGGCTGTAATTTAGTTGGTCATGGTGGTAGGAATATGTATGTGCAGTGTTTCAGCTTATAGTTACAATTCCCCGCAGTCTCTCTATCACCTGTGGAATCTGTGTGATAGTTCCTTCTAAGAACTATAACAAAATATAATCTCGGTTGGCAACATATTATATTGTTCTTGTTTTAAAGGTTGTGGATGAAACACAGTCCCTGATAGCAAATTCATAAAATAATTTACTTATTTACTTCCCCGTAACCTCAGTAAAACAACTAGGAAATCTAAAAGCAAAGGACTTACTTTACCTCTCAAGAGTACTAAAACATGGTGTTTTAAAGAGTGATTAAAATTGGTCATGGTGGTAAGAGTATGTATGTGCAGTGTTTCAGCTTACACTTCCATATCCCCACAGTCTCTATTTTACCAAATAGAGAAACAATATCACCCGTGAGATCTGTGTGATAGTTCCCTCTAAGAACTATAACAAAATACAACCTTGGTTACAATATGCAATACTGTTATGTGCATTTAGAAACCCTGGAGGAGATTCTCATTCATCCTTCTGTTGGTAAAGTATATGTTTAAAGCACAAGAGACTTGTATAATATATATTGATTAGATCCTTGAAATACATCTTGGAATCTATTAAGAGTATGCAAGTATAGATGCTTTATGCTCTATTGATTGATGTAAAATTCCCTTTTCATCTGTCTTCCTCTAATTCTCTTCATATAAAAGAAAGCTGTAAGTAGAGAAGCTTCACCTAAGCTACTACTATACATGTTTAAAATAGACAGATCTTTATGATGGAAGTTTATATCACAGCATAATCGAGGTATATATTTTTATTTTATTTTTTTGCTGCACCATAGGCACCTGGTATCACAAATGAGCAAGCATTCTAAAAAGCTTGGACCCTCCATGGGTGCTGGATACCAGAATATTGGGGACTTTATCCTCTGAGGCCTAACTTGAGTCTCTGCCAGACAAGAACTCCATGGAGGAACCTTCATTCGACATGCTAGCAAAGGGGGGCTGCATCATATCTTCTCACTCAAGGAAGTTCATAATCTAGAAACTAAAAGTGATATTAAAGCACTTTGTGACATTCACACGCTGTTAAAGACCAATCTCTACATTATAAGGGAGGAACAACAATCCCTGTTTGGAAGAGTTAAGGCCGCAGAGTCCTGGATCTTCAGGCTCAACAAACCTCTCTCATCTCGACACAGGATAGGATGTTAGGAGTCATCATAAGGATCTGAAATAGTAACCTTTTCCACCAGCTTCTGCCTCCTAAATAGGCCAAGGGACTGCTCATTGATGGATTCTATAGATCTCTAAGTTTCCCAAGGAAACCAGGACCTCATTGTTATTTATCTTGCTAAAGCAGCTGCTTTGGTGGCTGTGAGGGTGTCCCCCATTTTGGAGTTTGAAAATTGCTTTTATTCTTTCTATGGGGAATCCAGGTTTACCTTGCTTTGGAGACAGTCACTTCATCCTGATAACTAGTGTCCTTTGGGACCAGTGGTGTATCCTGGTTTGTGCTGCCCTAGGCAGGACAAAACTCAGTGCCCCCCTCCTCCTTCCTCCCCCCCCGCATCACCCCCACCCAACCCTTCACCCCGCCCCACCTTCTAAATACACAAACACACATTTACTGACAGATACGCATACACTAGCTAACAGAAATACACACTCGTTAACAGAAACACACACACACAGACACACACTCACTAACAGACACACAAGGATTCAGATGACTAAAATACGACTAAAACTAAAATGGCTTTTTAGTCAAAAGACAATGACTAAAACTAAATTGAAATTTGCAACGGAAATTAACATTAAGACACATGGGGAGGGAGAAGAGGAAATGAGACACATGAGGGACTGAGGAAATGAGACACATGGGAGACTGAGGAAATGAGACACGTGGGGGGCTGGTGGATAGAAACACATTGGGGACTGGGGAAATCAGACACATGGGGGACTAGGGAAATCACACACATGGGGGACTGGGAGAATGAGACACATGGAGGGACTGGGGGAGGAATTGAGACACATGGGGGACATAAGATGCATGGAGGGGCTGGGGGGACACAAAGCGACAGAGGGGATGAGGGTGAAATTTAGTCGACTAAAGCTAAAACAATTCAGATGACTAATATGACTAAAACTAAATGGCTTTTAGGTCAAAAGACTATGACTAAAACTAAATAGAAATTTGTCGCCATAAAAAACACTTGGTTATACAAGATCCATGCTGAACACTAAAGATGGGACTTTACACACACCAGACCATGTTATGTACTCCACAGCCTTCTTGCATCTCTGAGATCTCTCAGGCTGGGGCCTCTGGGCCTACCAAGATCCCAAATATTGCTAATATCACCTCCTTTGTTTCCACTGGTAATACCTGACCTGTTTTATTCTAAGATGTCTGATAATTTGTTTAATTGCTATCGAATTTGCAACCCCTTCTGTCATTTTTGTTTCTCGTCTGATACCAGTGGGCAGTATTGTTATATTTTAACATGTCTGCCTCTTATCTCTCGTGTTCTTTATACCTAAAACTGTAGACTATTGCAGTTTACTGTTTAATGTATATTTCGATTGTACCACTCCATGACGAAAATAAAGGATATAAAACATGTAATAATAATAACAACTTGGGTACACAGTATATATATATTTTTGCTGCGAAAACAGTAAACTTAAATTCAACAGATGATGGATATGTTTTGATTACCATGTTGCAATGTGTATTCTCAAACCAAATCTCTACATTTTGAATTGCTTGAATTATTTGAATTACTGCAAATACATATAAACAAAGAAGGGATTCCACTAACTAAAAGAAAGGGAGTAGGAGGTATGGCTGGTATCTGGATGTATTCTCAGGGGACAGATTATTTACATCTGTTCTAGGCAGCAGTATGCAGTTCCAATGTAGATAATTAGAATTTAATCTTATTCCCAGCTGCTGTCTGCGCAGGGCTTCAATGCACTCCCTCCTAACTCCTGCACCTGTGGTAGACATAAAAAAAACACCTCTCACTAATACACAGGGCTTCAAAGAATGCTCACTACCAGAACAGAGAATTGCTGGTAAGGCACTACTCAAATTGTATTGTCTATTATAAATATTATAACAAACTCAACTGGATAAATATCACAGGAAAATTCATGTATGGTATAGCAAAAAACACCTGGTTAGTTTTCCTTCTATCTTATAAATAGAGCTGTGTGGAAGGCAGAAAAATAAACACTATGCAAAAACAAAGGTCAGTCGTTTATCCGTTATTTACCTCTAATGGTCCAGGAAAAAATGTGGTTTATAACGTTAGTCACTAATGTGTTAATTCAAAGACAATTTAAAATTTTATGCCAAAATAGCCACACTGGAAAAATTCCCTTAGCCAGCTATATTTCCAGTTCGCTATTTTGGCATAACATTTTAAAATAATTTGAATTCCCACCTTCTAAATATAGGGACATGCCAGTACTATTTATGCGTACATCAATGTTCCTTTTATCTCCCTGAAATGGATTGGTGCGCTGTCCCTGTCTCAGCAATGTTATCTCCTCCTCTCGTGGGTGTCATACTGATAGTCACTAGAGTGGCTTCCATGGCACAGACCAACTAAAACTTTGTCACATGATGCGTAAGCCCCATAGGAAAGTATTGATTCAATGCTTTCCTAAGGGAAAGTTTCAAGGCGCTCTCCAAGCATGAACATTAAGTCCCCAATGCTTCTCAATGAGGAGCATTGGATTGGACTCTCACAGGGGAAGCTGGGCCTCTTCCGTGACGTTGGCTGGGAAGGAGAGATCAGCAGTGCTGAGGGAGCCTTGATGCTGGAACAAAGGTATGTAAAAATATTTTTTTGCAGGTTTGGATTCCCAACTCTATGGTGTTCATTTAACATTTAAACAGTAAATACGATTTAGCCATTACATTAGAATATTGAATATAATTGCAATGCAAAAGATGAATAATGCTAATTCCAAGTTGCATGAATTTAACTCCTCGAGAAACTTATCTCAAATTTTGTACTCATATATTTTACTTATATTTACCTACAAAAATATAAAAAAGGTACAACTTAACACTGAGAAAGTTTATAACTAAATTTGCTTTTTAAAAATGTTAGAATATCTAATCAAAGCAAGAGCATATGTTATAGTGAAGGTATAGTACTTTTATTTAGACCAAATATTATTGCTCTTACGGTTTTATTTATAAGGACCAAAACAAATTTAGATTAATTAAGCAGTTTTTGGATATAGATTATGCCTCTGAAGTTTTTTTCAGAATTTTCAATAAAGGAAATGTAAACATGATACTTTTTGCAGCACATGTTTAGGGTATCTATGTAAGTCACATGCAGATAATTGTGCCTAGGGATGCATAAACAAAGTGGTTTAACTCCTTAATGGCAGAGAATTGAGCAATGAGACTGCAGGGACATGATCTATGCACAAAAACCACTTGATTACACTAACATTATTTTGGCAGCTATACTGTCCCTTTAATGCACGTGCTTCAAATAGCTCTTAGTATTAGGTGGAACCTCCTTTTCTCCTTTTTTAAAGAATGGCCTATTATCCTTTGCACAGGTCTGTTAAAAACAGCTTAATTAAAAAATTAAAGCTGTTTTTTGACTATAGTGTCCCTTTAATGTGATCTGTATTATCAGCTGAGTAAATTACATTTGTGTACAGTTTAATTATTTTGAGTGAGAAATATAATACTGTTACTGACTGTTCAGCTAATAAACTGTGAAACAAATTTAACTTATTTGTATGTAATGTGTGTAGCGTGAGCGGGCTGTATGCAATGTATGTAGAGTGTGTACCCTTTTTCATCTGACCTACAGTTAATGATCCAACGTGGCAATGTAAGGCTCTTATTGTTGGAATAACGTTTTAGTTAATTATCCTTTGGGTTTAGTGGTGTAAAGCCAGTCCACATGAATAAAGTACAAATTGCACAAACAACTGTATCATGGGCATGATTAGTGTGGAAAACTGGAAATTAATGGTATGATCTGTAAAGGTAGCAAAATCAATACTGAACATCTAAGAGGTGTGATGCCAGGGTTGTTACTGTGAGGGCTTTATCTCATGGTGGGTTCAGACCTTGGTAATAGGTCCTCTCAGTTCCGGCGCTCATTAAGTCAGAGTGCATGCTGGGAATCCTGGCAGCTGCACTCTGACTCACTAAAGCATGCAGGACCGAACCTGCCTGAGGTGCAGACCTCATCCTCGCAGCCCAGACATTGACCTCATTACACAAGCTGATGGCAGGACTAAATGCCAGAAAAACAGCTTGCCCGGAACTGCAGGTCCAGGGTGTCGAGCGATATAAATTCCACACCTTTACAGCTGTACCTGCCCATCGAGAGAACATTGGTTCTACCATCCCTTTGCAAGTCTTTTGAAGTGGCCCACCACTAGTCCAGAAGTTGGCTTGTCTAAAAGCCCTCTATCTACTGGTTAGTATCAGCGATTACACATAATATCCTTTGAATTCTAGTTTACTTGATATATTTTCCTAAAAAAGGAAGTAATTCATTTTATCTCCAAGACCAGCAGTAATGAGATAAGGGAGCAGGTGACAATTTAAAGCTTACAATAACAGATTTAAATGCTGTGTAACAGTTTTGATATTTCCTATAATTAAATAAAGAAAATGTTACCGTAAATGGGACATTGTTGTCCAAAAGCTGAAAGTGATTACTGTTCTGTTAAGAAATGTGAGAATGGTGGAGAAATTTAAGTTTCCTGTTTTGTAAAACAGGAAGATGGTTTGCACATAGCTGCGGAAACAGGTGATAATTTTCTGGGAGCAGAGTTTTGTGTTAACCTTTTTATTTCTATATAGAAAAATAATGCTATATGAAGAAGGTTTGTTCTTCCTAATGGAAGTGGATATTTTTAATTGCTTGCAGATGTATAGTTTTAAAGAAATTACAAATGTTCCATGAGTATTTAAGCATGGTAGTTTTTAAACTTTTATATTTAGAGCACTTCATTCTCTCCCTTTCTTTTTTGTGAGCTATTACGAATGCAAATAAACTCAAAAAGAATCAGCACACTATAACACTTTTGTCATGGTGCGCCAGTATAGGCAGGCGCACCACACTCTTTCCTCACCCGCCGGTCCATGTAGCCGCTCCACTTGGGTTGCGCCGTGCAGAGGAAAGATGGCATGCTCCCCTATGGCAGGCACCCTATGCAGCACTTATAGTATGCCTCCCATGCTACTCGAGGGTTCTCTCAAAGTGTTAGAACCTTGGGGGATCCATCCTAGAATATCTTGGAGCAGTGTGGGGAACAACTGGAAGAATGGACAAATCAACACAGCGTCATGCCCTAGGGGCGTGGATTCCTATGCACACAAAACAGACCGACAATCTACTTAAATATATCCATAGACCCCTCCTCACTGGAGGGCTTTCATATTTAAACCCAGACTCTGGGTTCTTTGCTCAGTTGCCGTGAACTCTTAGAGGTTACAAGCCTCCTTTGCCTGCCCATACCAGAATTAACCCTCACTTGTCTGGTTAACCTTTGCCTGCCCAATTCTGTCTTTGTTAACCTTTGCATGGATCTCTGGATAACCTTTTGCCTGCCTGAAACCCAGGTTAACTATTTATAGCCAGAAAAAACTCATCAACAGAGAGTGTTATATCAAAAGTGCCTTATGTATAAAGATAGTAAGTCTACACTTTAATGTGGGATACTCTCTTCCCCACACAACACAATAAATGTACACTTTCTGATGGTACAAGATACATTTGTACCTATAGTGGTGCGCTAAGGTGCAAAAAATAATGGGAATGACTTACTCCGTTTTATACTTGTTGTAACGGAGGTAAGTCGTTCCCCTTATTTTTGCACTTTAGCGCTCCACTATAGATACTAGGTTAACCATTTGTCTGCCTGCCTGATTCTGTCCTGGATTGCATGGTTAA